AATCAGGTACTAAAATTACCAACAACAACCATATTATAACAATTAAAAAATCAATATAATTTCAGTAATTTATTAAATTATCCACTAAACAAAACAATTAGGAAAATATTAATTTTTTTATTTTTTGAAATGATAAAAAACAATATATCTTATTCCAATAAACAAGGAGTACAAATGCAAACATGACAACTCAACTTAAAATCTATTTGTTGTGGTTTGCAATTAAGTTTGGTGGTAGCCTTAAAAGTGCATGGAGATTATTTGGAGAAGCTTTTATTGTAATTACATCTCTTTTTAGTTTACACTTAATCCAATTAATGGCATTTGAAGTTTCCTCACTAATAATATTATTGATGCTTACATGCAATAAATTAATTATATCCTGGAGTTTTCCTTCTTCCTTGTCCAAAGATAAGAATTCTTTTCTGAGATTGAAAAATTTGCACCACTTTGCCATGGATTATGATATCCATATATTGAAAAATATTTTGATGAAATATTTAAATGATTAATTTAGACATACATTTATACGCATGGTTAAAGATTAAAGAGATTATTGTAACTAAAACTAACCGATTTTAGGTAAATGATTTTTCTTACTTTCTAATTCCCACCATTAATCCTTTTCATGGGCATTTTTGGAAAAAAAATAATGGAACAATAATACTAGCTATACATAATCCTTAAATTAATTTGCTTTTTGAATTTTTGAATTAGTAACTCTTATATATATGTAGTTATACATATAATGAATACATAAGAAACTTTTAAACTATTTAAAAAAATTTCAAATAAACACTGATGTGGCATTCACATTGCATACTGATATGGCATTGACATGGTATACTGATATGACATGATGACGTGGTCCTTAAGTGAGGATAAGATGACTGATGGCATTTTGACTAATAACAATTAATCAATCCTATTTAACCCAAAATAAAAATAGAGCGTAATAAAAAAATAATACTTATTTAAAATTTTTTAAATATTTCAAAAGTTTTTAAAAACATTATATAAAAAAAGGTGAAAACATTAGTAATATTATATTGGAGTTTAAATGCCAGTGTATGAAGTGTGCCTTTTCTTCTGTGTTGTAATGCTGAAACCTATTGTGCCTTTTGTTTTATTCTAATTGCATTAGGTGTCGTTGGCAACCTTTTCCAAGTGATTGCAAAACAAAGATTTTGAGTGTGTCTATGGCGAAACATCCAGACAATAACTACATGGATTTCTTTCAGTCCATGGTCTTTGTAAAACCTTTCCACCCTATAGTAGTAAGCACATACATCTTGTAAGACCAAAAAATGAATTTCATTAGGTACTATTGTTGTCATATGCCCTTGAGCCAATTGGATTAGTCAAGAAATATACATTGTCATTTAATGCATAGTTAATCGCATAACATTATGTGATAGAGGTTTTTCTACTTGTTAGTGCAATTATAAAAAGTTATTAAGTACTAATTGGATGAAAACCATGAAACATAAAGGCCTTGCAAGAGAATTGTAAA